ACTCCTTCTAATGCACCCTAATACGTCATTAACCTTCTTGGCTACAAGGGCACACTGTTGACTCATATCCAGCTTCTCATCCACTGTAATCCCCAGGTCCTTTTCTGCAGAACTGCTACTTAGCCAGTCAGTCCCCAGCCTGTAACAATGCTTGGGATTCTTCCGTCCCAAGTGCAGAACTCTGCACTTGTCCTTGTTGAAGCTCATCAGATTTCTTCTGGCCCAATCCTCTAATCTGTCTAGGTCACACTGGACCCTATCCCTGCCCTCAAAGGTATCTACATCTCCCCCTAGCTTAGTGTCATCTGCAAATTTGCTGACGGTGCAATCCATCCCCTCATCTAGGTAATTAACAAAGATGTTGGACAAAACCGGCCCTAGAACCGATCCTTGGGGCACTCCGCTTGAAGCCGACTGCCAACCTGACATCGAGCCATTGATCACTAAACGTTGGACCCGACAATCTAGCCAGCTTTCTATCCATCTTATAGTACATTTATCCAATCCATGTTCCCTTAACTTGCTGGCAAGAATATTGCAGGAGACCATATCAAAAGCTTTGCTGAAGTCAAGGTATATCACATCTACTTACTTCCCCATAGCCACAGAGTCAGTTACCTCATCACAGAAGCTAAACAGATTGATCAGGCATGACTTGCCCTTGGTGAATTCATGTTGACTATTCCTGATCACATTCTCCTCTTCCTAGTGCTTCAAAATGGATTATTTTATTTTACAGTGCATTGCATTACTAAATAAAATAAATCAAGCAACCCTAACGGGACAAGTCTGCTATTAGATCCATGGCACAACTGCTTCTGAAATTAGCAACAGTGGGCAAAATGAGACTAGCTAATATTGACAACTATTAGACTACAGGACAATCTTGCAAGGGAAGCAGTTGAAGCACCATCTCTTGAGATGTCAAATTAGATTGGACAAAACCCAAGATTGGCAGGGAAAAACTCTTCACCATCCAGATGCAGAATTGCTTTCCCCTTAGGCTATGTGTATGGTGCAAATAGAGGTGTTGTTGCAGTTCACACTGGCATACTCAAGAATTAATTTATCTAGCACAGCTAAAAATAGCAGTGAAGATATGGCAGCACAGGCTTTAGCAAAGGCTCTGCAAGTCCACTCAGAACTGTGGGTAAACACATTACCAATCCATGCACTAATGTCATCACTAATTTTGCTCCCCTCTCCACAGCTAAACTAGAGCTAGTGGGTGGGTGCCTATGTGAACTGCAATCACAACTCCAACTAAAACAGAGGTACTTTTAGACTATGCTGTTTTTGTTCTCTGGTTGGACGATACCTAGCACAACAGTCCCTGATGTGAGACCAGGGCTACCACAATGCAAGATAAAAGTATATTCTTTATCATACATTCCTTACTTCTATAAACTTCTTTAAAATATGTTGCCAAATAGCCTCTCATATTTTCAATTTGTTAAAGATCTGGGGACAGCCCAGCCCACATGAAAGACCCTGTTCATTGCTACAGTAGCCTTAGCTTCCACATTTAAAGGAAGAGGGCAATGTTCATACATGGGGGACTGAACTTAAACCCTTGAATCCATATTTAAACAACTAATTAGGAAAAAAACCATGTGAAATTTATGGGTGCTCCGCACAGATGAAAATAAGTTCACATGCCTAGGTAATTACATTTATATTAAAGAGACTAATTTCGGGCACCCAGGTCTGAATATTTTAGGCACAGACAATACAATGTTTAAGTAATAAAGAGACATGGCAGTAAAGTCTAAATATTGGCAGCACAAGTGTACAAGAAGTAAAGACAGGAAGGCATTGCTACACAGAAGAATAGGTCCAATGACATCACAATATGCAATATGTCAGCACCTATGATATGTAAAGGAGAATATGCACCAAGGTATAACTTAGGTGTGGTTTTGACCATTCAATAGGTTTGTGGTGAGAAGTTTGGTAGGTGAGTGAACTTGCTGTAATGAGCATGACATGAGCACTCACTGATAAAAAAAAGCTACCCCAAGGCATGCTGCTTTTGCTCAGAGGAAAGCTAACAGCCAAACAGTCCTCTAACAACCAACCTGGCCTGAGACAGCAAGATGCCATGAGTTAAACAAGCTGCTGGCTACTAATCGCTACAAATATTGCATGTGTATCACCAGTGAAGACAGCATTTGAGCCTTATCTGGCAAGACGTGGAGACAATGTTAGTTGTGTTTGAGACTATGGTATGAGGTGGTCTCCTTCAAACGTAGAATCATAGGACTGGAATGGAACTTAAGAGAACATCTAGTCCAGTCCCCTGCATTCATGGCAGGATTCAATATTATCTAGACAGTCCCCAAGAGATGTTTTTCTAACCTGCTCTTAAAAATCTCCAGTGATGGAGATTCCACAACCTCCCTAGGTAATTTATTCCAGTGTTTAACCACCCAGATAGTTTGGAAGTTTTTGCTAATCCAAGCTAAACCACCTTTGTTGCAATTTAAGTCCATTGTAATTATGTTATTGATAAGCTGAATGATTCCATATTTTTATTTTCTTTTTCACTAATTTTTAAACATTTGAAATGCCCTAGTGAGAAGGGCAAACTGGAGCATCTGTGGCTGAAAAATGGTGTGCATATCTTTCACCAACTCACTGCAAGTTTCTCTATTATCTGTTTGTGTCCCTACAGATGCATGTATTCAGAATACATGTTTTCCTTGAAGATTCTGTGTGTCTTTTATAGAATGGCCAAGGATCTGGCCCTAAAATATGGTCCATGTAACCAAAAACTATTAGGGACTGCTTCAGTAAAGTTAAATGCTTGCTTTTTTAGAAAAAACAAACCTCCTATACTTATGAGTAACTCAAAAAACCCTTATTTTTTCCAAGAGGTCATCAGAAATAAAGAATAAAGGAGCAATTTGTATTTCTATCCCCAAAATTTTAAAATAATTGGGAAAAAATAAAACATCAGACACAACCTTACTCAGGTTCTATACTGGATGAACAGTTTTAACTCAGCGCTTTTAACCAAGATACAGAACTGGATTTTGAAGCTTGCAACCCTAAGTCTACAAGATTTACTCAATTATTATGCAGAATTTTTAGCAGTAAGATAGCTGCTCTGTCTCATAAATAATTGCCCCAATATAAACTGAAGAAGGGGACAAATCACTAAGGGCACATCTACATAGCTAAAGCAGAAATAAGATGTGCAACTTGAGCTACAATAATTGCATAGCTTAGGTTGAAATTGCTTATTTCGGCTTTTGGTGCTGTCTACACAGCAGGAAGTCTGAGAAAGAGCACTCTTCTTCCAACTTCCCTTACTCCTTGTAAAATGAGGGCAACGGGAGTTGGAGTAAGAAGTCCTCCAGCTCGACATTATTTTGACATTATGTTGAAATAACTGTAGTGCAGACGTGAACTACGTTATTTTGGAATAATGTCGGTTATTCCGAAAAAAATTGCTGTGCAGACGTACCCTAAGTTAAGAACCATATTTTGAGATAGTTGTTAATAAGGAAAGTGGGGGCAGGGGCTGAAATGCACCATAGTTCAGAGTGTTGGGATCCAAAGTTTTATTTGAGCTCAGTGCAGACTCATGAAGTTAATTTTCTCCTACTAATTGCTACCTTCTTAGCACCTATTACATCGTTGAGTGCAAACTGTCTATACAAGGGTGCTACTATTGTTTCTGTTGGGCATTAGGTTTAACTGTATCATGTCCTATTAGAAAGCCAGAGTAAGATTCTCTAAGGCATCAAAACACAAAACAAATCACATGTCCAAAACTGAAGGACTGTAGGTGAGGTCACAGAAAGTTTAACTGTTTAATAAATGGAAATGACTAATACACGGGAAGCAAGAAAAACCTTCCTTACTGTGAATATTTATTTTTCTTTTTAGATGTGATAGACCGCTTGCTAGCTAACTGCCATATGATGAAAACAACCAACCAAAGGAAAACGATCAAGACTATTTCATAACATTATTTGCCATCTTTTCTGAAAGCATATTACTTCAAAAAAAGTCTCTTGAAAGATGGTATTAATTTTATAAAGAGTGACATTATGTATATAAAGCAAGTTACTGTAAGCACATTTTCAGCTATTAAAAAAATCCTCCCAATTATTGCACTTGATTTCATATGAAGTGGTATTGTAAACACATGAAACTCATGTAGCTTCCTTATCTCACACTCTACAATTTATAATGCTATTGTGTTTCTGATGTCATTCATAATTCTCCCTTATTACAATTTCTGTTTATTATGCTTTTGACTGGTAAAATAGTAAACTACTATAATTAGCCATGTTTTTCATTTTTGCCTTTCAAAAGTAAAAATACAAAAGCTGTCATTCATCTTATTCAAAAGAAAAATATATTTCCTAATCTTTGGTTAATGATAAATCCTTGCTGTTAAATTGAATGAAGTAAAAGAATACACTCTTAACATTGTGAAATGTTCAAAGAAAAATATACAGTGCTTCATTTAATAATGCTACTGTTTTAATTTAATGCATTTGTTTTAAAAAAAAATCTTTGTTTTACCTGTACAACACATTTCTCAAATGTTGCATTCAAACTAACAGAAAACATCAATTGGAGCAGATATGCACTGCATCCCTAAACATGTTGGTTGATTCTACAAACTGTGTCTATTGAGAGCATCAATTGCATATTCAGGGCTAAATCAAATTAGAAAGTAATTTAGACAATGGTAGTCCCCTTGCCCCCCAAAAAAGTTTCTATTGTATCTCTCTGTAACTACTGGACCTCTCTGTCCTCAACTATCCTTTGAAATTCAGTTTCCAATTCAGGCATAATATTCACATATGCCATATAGACAGCTAAAATACTATACTTCCACAGACTGCACTGTGACTTGGAAACTTTTAAGCTGCGATTCTCCATGCTAAACTTTTCCTTTCGTAATAAAATTGAACAGCTACCGATTATCTTTCAGTTCATCACCCTGTCGTCATTACACTGCAGACGCTTTTTCTTCTTACCCCTGGCGTGCACGGAGAGTAGCACGATCAAAGAAATGTGAAGCTGCCAGTTTGATTCTTCCAGCCAACCCATTGCTGCAGGACAGTAGTGATTCTGATTTGCCCGTGTTCTTCTGCTTCTTTTTCTTTTCTTATTTCACCAATAGTCTTTTGCTTCGTCTCCGTCAGATCCTCAGACAAGCCTGCCAGCAAGCCTGAGATGAGAATATGAAAGACAAGCCTGTTACAAACTGGTTCTGTCACCACATAGACATCAATTGATCACCTCGTGGGGAAGACAACAAAAGGGCAGCAAGGATCCCAAGCTGGAGTGGATTCCTGAGACGGGAACATGGATTGACTGCCCACACAGGGATTTGTGTAAACTTAGAAGCTGCAGCCGGAGTCTTTAACTCCCTCTTTACTTTACACACTTTACACATACAAAAAAATAACACCCTGAAAATTCACATGAAGTTTGCATTACATTTTTTCAATTAGATGTACACAAACCCCTCTTGCCAAACTATGTATAAATTGTTTGCTTTATAAAAAGAGCTCTGCCTTCAGCTGTTTTTTTTTAAAGTCACACCAGCATTTTCCTGTGCACTTCCAACATTAAGAGAGAAATAAGGATTGCTCTGAAGCAATAATAGAAAACAGCTAAGAAAGATAAGAAATAGTCTGGCTCTGCACACTGTGTTATTCAAAATAAACTCCTCCTCCCCCCGCGTATGAGCAATGATTTATAGAAATATTGCTATAAACAGATCTTTTAAAGGTCATTAGATTCCTCATGTAACTGGATTCCTTTAAATTTATATAAATTATATGAAACTACTGTAAGTACATTAATTAATTATAAATGCATATAGATTTAATTACATTTCTCAACTGTTTGCCATTGGCCACAGTTAAAATACATGCTTTTTGTACTCTGACAGAACTACTAGGCTACTCTATATGTCAGAGTTCTAAATTACTGCGGTCTCCATTTTTATTCAAAGTTTTATTTCAGATTATTTGGGTTTTTTATTGCGACAATTAACAGATTGCACCCACTAATGACCTGCTGCCTGGTTTTGGTAAATGGAAACAGGAAGCAGATGTACAAACAACCAATATTATGGTATCAAATATTGAAAGTTTGTGATCTTCATTTCTGAATAAAATTCAATAAAAACACTAAGTATTGAAAAGAGACTGTAACAGGACTTCACTAATGCATACACACCAAATTAATTGATCATCTCTCACCATCTCTAAGCAAAGATTAATAGCTAAGTACTCTAATCAGGGCTCCTACTGGTCAAATATTTTTCCAAATATCTTACAGTACTGTACAGTTAGTAATAGATATTGAGGTCTTGTCATTAATATTTAAAATATATTATAATTATCTAAATAAATGAGCAAAGTACGTTGTGTGGCGCATTAGCCTTGCTTTTCTTCTGTAGTCTTTGTTCACTTAAGACCTGACAATGCCCACACTGAATTTTTCTACTGATCTCGAAGGGTCAGATCCTGTCACCATACTTGAATAGCACCTTATTCCACAAGTCATCCCACAGAAACTCTTTGGGGGCAGGGACCATATTTTGTTGAATTTTTGCACATCACCTAGCAAACTGGAACTTAGATCCAATATTAGGACTCCAAGGCACCACCACTATACAAATAATCAACAACAAAGCAATGAAGTGCTACTTAGTGTAAGACAAATATATCCCACTGCTAACAGAAAAGACCCCTGCTGGCCAATTTAAAAAAAGTGTCTGCTTTCCAGACATTAATCTGAATCAGTGGAATCCCACTACATTGTATTTACTTTTTCTGTCCTTGTATTTTTATTTTAATTCTTTAGTGACTAGCTACATTATATCAACAGGGTACAGGCAGTCCCCGAGTTATGCGGATGTAGTCACTTCCTGTAGTCAGCCGCTGGTCAGTTTCAGCAGCGGCTGAATCTGGACGCCAGTTTCGACTTACGTACAAATTCAACTTAAGAACAAACCTACAGTCCCTATCTTGTACGTAACCCGGGGACTGCCTGTATTCCAGCTATTCCCATCATTTTCCTTCATATAGAATTGGAAAGTGCAGAAATAAAAGGACAGTTATGGTTGTGCCTCATGACTGACTGTTCTGAGATTTGCTCCACATTTTACACCATATTTCCTGGGAAAAACATGATCCTACCTCCGTGTGCATGTGCGTGTGCAGTTTGCTTCAAAGGCATCACTAAAGTTTCTATCCAGGGCTTATACACATCATTCACAAATAGAGCTTGGAATAATGGTTCATTAACTACTGACATTTTAAGCTTGTTTATTTAAAAAAAAGCAAGCCAACTCAGTCCTGAACATATCACATCCTTCACCAAATGTCTACAAAACAGCCCAGTCGAACAGTGAGTGCCCAGATGAAAGGGGAGATTCAAGTTCAAGATTGGTGCACTGCCCATAAGAGGAATGACTTGAGCTATTCTATATTAACTTCTTGGGTTAGAAGAACATGGGGAAGATGGAGAGGATTCAGGGATGGGTGGGGAAGGGAGTCAACCCGTAGTCAGCAGTATATACAAGTTTTTGAAAGTGAAGAGGATGTTGTGTGAGAGGGAAGGGAATGAAGCATGGGAGCTATAGCACTGTACTCTCATTAGCATAACATGCTTCAAATGCAGCCATGCAGCCCAGAGGTATGTATAGCTGTGAATCAATCTGAAAGACAGCTACCAAAGAGGGAGAAGCTCATTTAAATATTTCAGAATCCAAGGGGACACATTTCACCCCAACTCCACTAACATCAAAAGGAGTTCCTTATGCAGACTAGAAGGAGCATGTATCCCGAAGATCAATGTTTAAGTCATGTTGGCACTAAGGCATAGATATCAACTCAGAGGAATCTTGGGCTGCCAAGCTATGGCTGAAACAACCTTACCTGAAGCAGCAAGGCTGAACCACAGATGGGGTTGCACTGGCCAGCTGAGCTCTACTAGCAACCTTTTGGGAGGGGCTTGAGGTAGCCGGACTGCCTGACTGAGCAACAAGATCAAAGATGCAGAAATAAGGAAAACAGAAAAGTTCAGAGAGGTGGAGGGCTATGATGAATAGCCTGCCTGAAAGCCCTTACCCCCATTTTTTTAATGTTTCCAAGCACCATTAAGCACTAGACCACCCTTGCCTATTCCCTTTTTGAATAATTAAAAGTCATAGAGATTTTTAGTGTATCATTAGGGAAGGACTGATTCTTTTTGTGGCTAAAACACAGAGTGGGGAGCCAGTAGATCTCTCTGTCTAAATTAGGATAAATTTAAAAAACAACAAATAGTCTATAAAGTGCTACCAGACTAACAAAACATGTAGATGATATCATGAGCTTTCGTGGGCACAGCCCACTTCTTCTAGATGATGTGAGTTCTATTCCTGACTCTGCTACAGATTTATCCTGTGGCCAAAATGCTCTAGGTAGGTGGCTCTGATCTGTGAAATACGAATAATGTCGTACAGTATATCAAAGGGAAGTTATGATAGTTGAGCTGTGGGACACAAATGGAGAGGGGGCTGTGTTGGAGATCCAAATTTTCTTTAAATTTTTCTGTTTCAGAATATTATTAGCAAAAGCTGGAGGCTGTTTATACGAATTACAAGGATGCTCTTTCTGATAGTTGAGTGCAAGCCAAAATTTATGCAGCAATAAATTACAATAAATATAGGATTTCTCAACAGATGTTAGAGTTTATGGATCTTCCATTCTATACCAGATATTTAACTGGCATTATACACTTATCCTTTGCACAACATATAAGCACGCAAAAACAGTGCAAAATGTTGTGTGGGGGGGTCCTTATATATCCAAGAATGGAAAGAAACTTTTCAAGGTATCACAAGGGTGGAAAAATATCTCAATTATTTCTATAGCCTAGAGAATGACATCATTGTTTCCATAGCGGTTAAAGTCATCAATAGTCTACCTCCAGATTTGATTTCTTTACTGCTAATTATCCTATTATTTATACATTTTCTTATTTTTAAAAGGCTGTTACCTATAAAGTAAAATTCCTTTCTAAGTGAAACCACCAATCCGAAGTGTCAGAGTTGCAACATTTCATTGAAAGAAACAGGAAAACTGCTCTCCTTCCCAGCTTAAGAAAACAACTAAGCAACTAAACTAGAGCAACCAAGCAGCACCCACAGGCACCATTTCCTACATTAAATCTGGATGATTGTTGTTTGGGTATTTTAGATAAAGATTGGCAGTGAATTCCTGAAAATAATTTTGTTTCATTAATTATACTGAGATACCCATAGAAATCCCAGTTCTGGGCCAGAAGTCAATTGTACTAAATTCTGTGTAAACACAGAACAAGAAGATGGTCCATGCTCCACAATAGCTTACATTCTAAGTAATGGGCCCTCTTAAATGCTATGTTAAAATTCTACCAGAACAGTGTGAACTTGGAGAATACTTTAAGACATATCCTTAACTATTTTCAGCATATTAGCCCTAAACAAGTGGAGCTCAGAAGCCCTAGTGGCAGCCGAGTGTGGGTATTTAAACAGCTAATTATATAGGTGTTAGCAATAGGCAGAATTTTCATTATAATTTGAAAAAAACCCAAGGGAAGGTAGCTCTGAAGAGAATTTGTTTTTTCAGTTTTATCTCCAGAGCAATCTTAACATTTTTATTTTATTTTATTAAATTCAACAACAAAAGTTGTGAAGCACTAAACTTCTGCAGGAATTTGGAGATTTTTAAAGAACACAACATAAGGGAGTTTGACATGTTTTCCCAAGTTTCTTTTCTTCCCACTCCATTCCTAGCTTGCCACATTCCACATCATTAGACATCAGCAACTCAAAGAAGAGAAAGCTCATTTCAGCCACTCAGTGAAAAGACTATCACTTTGTTACAAATAAACAATCCCCAACCCCTCCCCCACCCCTTGCTTATTTGAATGAGAAGTATAGTATTCTGAGCACGTATTCCTTTGGCTTTCGGAGCTCTGCCAAGGTTCCCCTCTCCTCCCCCACCTCCTTGCATAGAAAGAGAGGGGAGAAGGGAGAAAATCCCATAACTTGTCTCAAGCATGCAGAGGATGATTTGTGTTCTCATTTACAGAGTCTGACTGTCACTGATGATCTGCTCTCAGGCTTAGATTACATGTGATAAGGGCTGACCTTATTTGAGTATTCACACATTATGCACTCATGGA